TTATCCTATCGGTAGCGTATTGTTTACGTCGATTATAGATGACTATATGTATTTTTTTTAATATGTAATTTCATTAATAATTGTGTTTAAAATATTTATTTCATCATTTTGTTATTTGCTTGATAGATTGACTCCGGATAGTAGAGATTATTCTATGAAAATCTTTGAGATTTTTAAGAAATGAGTGGACAAGAAAGGATCGTCATGGAAGGATGTCCTCGACGTCACTAAAGAATTCTACTTTAATGAATTTAAGGTAATGTATTTATAATTTTCTTTATAATTACACAAAAAATTATCTAATCAAATAAGTTATATAAATTTTTTTCCTTGTGTAGAAACATTTTGAATGGGATGTCGACATCAATCCATTTGTTAGAAGGGCATGAGATTCTCTTGCTAGGAAAAGTTATGCTAACTTCGTATACAAGATTAGTTTGATGCCTAAGCGACCTCAATTTATGAATCGGGAGGCATGGGATACGTGGCAAGTTGATTTCAAGAAACCTAATTGCGTGGCTCGTTCGGAGCAAGCATCACGTAATCGATTATCGGAGATCGATGGTCCTAGTTCGGATCCTTTCGGACATATGGGGGGCTCAATATCTTCACCGGAGCATGCACATCGCTTGATAAATTACACTCTATTATTATTTACTTATTTCATAATATTTGAATTTAGGACTTGTCATAGTATTTGTAATGTTTTTTTTTAGGCAATAGAATTAGGACGCTCACCTATGAGTTTTGAGTTGTTCCGGAGGATTACTAAGAAACATGATGGTTCATTCGTCGATATGCGCTCCCGAGCATACACAAGCTAGTATTTTTCAATTTTAAATTTTAAATATGAAAATTTATTCTCAAATTTATTTTAATATTGTAACAATGATAATATTATTTTATTAATGCGGGATCGTGTGGAGCAACTAATCAATGAGGAAATTGAGGCTCGGAGGGAGGCGGGAATCTTAGAGCAAAAAGTAGACCGAATGCCATATACCTGCAGGTCGTCAAGGAAAAAAAGAAAAGATTTTATGGGATCGGCACACAATCGGTGCATTATGTGTCTCGGTCAAGTGGTATCAACTCCTTCTCTACGACGTTGCAATACATGATCGATCCGGCTAGCGAACAACTTCGGATGGACTACGAGGCCACTAAAGAAGAGGTGATCGAGCTTAAGGAGACTATTTGTAACATGAAGTCTCAATACGATTCCATGGCATCCTTACTAATGCGGCTAGCATACACATCCGGGTTGTCTATAGATCCGTCGATTATTCAACAATCTGCTGGTCCTTTTACTTAGTCTCCGAGTTCGGCCTCCGGTCGATCCTCCGGGTGAGCACTCAACATAGCATGAGGATAAGGATATGGGACTAGACGAGCGAGGATGAGTGATGTAATATTCGATCACTTTGTTTGTTTTGTTATTTTTTTATGAACCCTATTCTAGAATTATTTTGCTAATGTTATTTTATTTTTCATATATACATGATTAATTATGATTTTTTATTATTAATTTTAATTATTAAATTTTATATTAATAATATAATATAATTTTTAAAAATTTCAACAAAAGTGAAGCAATTGTAAAAAAATTCATTTTCGGGAATAGCGACGAAAATTAACGACGGAATAATGACGGATTTATTATCGAAATTAGTGACGAATTAGCGATGAAAATTAGCGATGGATTAGAAATAGATTTATCTTCAAAATTAGCGACGGATTTATTTTCAAAATTAGCAATAGATTAGAGACGGATTTATTTTAAAACTTAACAACGAATTTATTTTTAAAATTAACGACGGATTAGGTACGAAAAAGGAGAGCCATCCTAAGTTAAGTTTAGCGATGGATTTTTGGGTTTAGCAATGGATTTTTCGTCGCTAAATATAATGACGGACTTAATATTTCATCGCTAAAATTTAGCGACCGATGAATTAGCGATGAAATTTTGTCCATCACTATTTGCAATTAGCGATGAAATTATTGGGTTTAGCGATGGAATTTTTCATCGCTAAAATTCATTTTTTTCGGTGCCTAATGAGCGATGCATGCTATTGGTTAAGGAAAAAAAGTGTTATGCCATCTAAGGTATAGTCGGAGGACTTGTAGTTTAGAAAGGTAGATGATATTAAACTTGAGAACTACATTTGTAGATCCTAGATTAAAAGAAAAAAAATACGGGGGGCATTCAAGTGTGTCCAAGACAATAAAAACTCATATCAAGGTCCTTCACAAGGGTTAATATTCAAGTCAAGCTTTAATTTTACCCAATTTATAAAGCAAGAAGGTGAAGAAAGTGGATCAAATAAAAAAGGAATAACAAAATACATGCGAGATAACATAGCAAACACTATAATATTCCACAAAATTTAGAGGTAACATTTGAATAAAGCATATAGCTACCTTATGATTGAAAGGGCGAGAAAGGAGTTTGGCTTACGCAACATCATATTGTATGGGTGTCTAGCTCCTCATGCTCGGAGGAATAAGGTTTTCATCCCAAGTGACAAAACAGAGGTCCCCATCAAGATCACTTCAGAAGTTATGGGGTTGAATCATCATAATATAGTGATTCATAAGAATCTTGTGCACTTACCTGTGGAATTTGATTTTGCTTGGGGTTAGTTCTCGAAGTACTTGCATAGGCAAGTGAACAACAATGAATCACCAAGTAGGAAAAATCAAAGGAAAAATCTAGTGATTCATATGAGTTTTGTGCACTACCTCGTGCACTTGGTGAGAAATTAAAAGTGTGAATCGGTGACCAAATCACTTATTTTCCAAACCCCCATCAACCTTCATCACCTAGTAGGAAAAACCCATTTGAATTTCTCAAAAACAATATGAACCAAAATACCAAAAATCCACCGAAACCAAATTTCAAGGTGACCTGTTCAATCAAATACCCAAAACAAACAAAGCAAAAAGTCCATAAACAAATGGACTTCTTTCAAGAAGTAAAGGAGCAACGAGAGAGACGACATCAAAGCAAACATCACGAGAAAAATTTAAGATCCAATCGGAAATAAAGCTTTGCAAGCATAAATGATTATTCAATAACTCACTCTAAAATAGTGGATGTTGGTACGGAGTCGACTGAAGGCAAAAGAGAATGAGTCAAAGGATGTAAAAGTGAAAAGATCGAGGCCAAAAACGAAGAAGAGAAAAAAGAAAGATAGAGTGGAAGGATGAAGATAGAGGAAGTTGGATTGGTGAGATCGGGATAAAATGATGTTGTGGTGGTGATTGGTGGCCGACCGTCAACAACGAGTCGTGGTGGCGGTGGGAGCGATTGCGAGATCCTTGGCGAAGAGAAGAATGGTGCATGGTGATGTCTAGGAAGATGGGGGCTTATTAAGATTAGAATAAAATGAGCTTATATAGCATGATTATTTAATAGTTGAGATTGTTAGGGTTTTTTAAATGGGTGATCGAGATTGAAAAAGAGCAATGTTTGATCGGACGTTTTCAAAGTAATCAATTTGAATCGGACGAGTTAAAACAAAAAATATACAAAATAATAAATTTAAACGAGTAATTTTGCAAGAATAGAAAGAAAGAGCGAAAAGGAAAAAAGCTGTTCAAAGAACGGTGAAAAGATCCAACGATAGAGAATGGTCGAGGAAAAAATGAATGACAAAGAGCAAACAGGATAAAGAGAATGGTAGAAGAAATAAGGAATTTGAGTCGGCATGAATAGTTAAATACCTCATAATCTATAGTGTTTCAAACAATAAATAAACAGTAACACATAATTTTACTTTAGTTTTTTTTTGTTAATTTCATTTTATTGATTTAGTTTTTTGAATTATTTTCATCCAGAGATGCATAGGAGCATTGGTTTTGATCACTTGACATAAAGGTGCTTCTCTAGTGCACTCCTATCCTAAAAGAAAATTAAGAGCAGGTAACAAGCAAACCCAATGTTAACCACTCCAATAAGATCGATCTATATACATAATAATTTATTGCTTATTAAGTTTAATCTCTATTTTCTTATAAATAAATAAAAAAATTAATCTCAAATTCTATGTAGGCCCACACAATGATGCTGGAAATTCTGTTGTTAAAAATACTTGAACACCTAGATATACCCTCTCTCAAATGGTTAATTTTCCTCTTTGATGGTTGCAGTCTTCGTTGTGCTTTGAATTAATATCACACTTAGTTTGGCATCCCAAAAGAATTGCTAGACTTTCGCCACTGCACTTCTCTCCCCCTATCTATTTGAGAACACGCCTGAAAAAACTAGCAGAATTAATGGCTGGGCAGGGCAGGGCAAGTGGTGGCATGGCATTTTGCTAAAACAAAGCTTTCCTTTGAAATTTCTAAACGACTTTGATGATAAGATTCCAGGTACAATTAATTATTCATCCAATGAGCAATTAGAGTTATCTAATCATGATTCTCATGTCAAGATCGTTTTACAACCGAACGATAATTACTCTCTCTTTAATGTACGACAGTTGCAAAAGTATGCTAATTGTTTTAAGTCTTCGTCTCCCAACCACTTCAATAATGAATCCTTAAAAGGATACCAATGCCGGTCCCATAGGTTTTTCTAATGTTCCTATCAATTGAACAACAAAAACTATTCATGGGATAGTTGAGGATTTCTTGTCAAAAATTAAAAAGCAATTGTTTCACCACCCCCCCCCCCCCTCAATTCAACAGAACGCTGACGATGGGCATTGAACTTCACAATAAAAACAGTTTTTTTCGTGGCATAGCCACCAAAACAAGTGTTTTTTAGAAGCTACACTTCTTGAATAATTCAAGTTTTTGAAAGGATGAGTTAGCTTTTTTTGGCTTTTTGGCTAAAAAGCCAATCAACATTAGACAAAGGTGGGGCCGTGGGATTTACGTGGATCCCTTGTCAAAAATTCAAAAACTTACCGAGATTTCTTGTTCTATTTCTTTTGTCTTTTGTGTGTGTTAGAGAGAGAGAGAGAGAGAGAGAGAGAGAGAGAGAGAGAGAGGACACCATGGATTTCTCTTCTTACGGTCCACTAGCAGTTTCAGGGATGATAGCACTAGTGCTGCTGTACAATTTATGGAGGGTGAGAGAACATCATAGGTACAGAAGTAATAAGCACTTGTTAGCACCAGAGCCATCAGGAGCCTTGCCAATTATAGGTCACCTCCATCAATTAGGACCAAAAAAAACATTTGCTCGAAACTTGGCCACCATGGCTGATGAATACGGTCCCATCTTCACAATCCGGCTTGGAATGAACCGTGCTGTTGTGGTTAGCAATTCTGAGGTAATTAAAGAGTGTTTCACGACAAACGACAAGGTTTTGGCTTCACGGCCTAAATCAAGTCATGGAGAGTTTCTGAATTACAACTATGCATCATTTGGTGCTGCACCGTATGGCCCTTATTGGCGTGAGATAAGGAAGCTGGTCTCAATTCAACTCCTTTCCAGCAATAGGCTCAAGTCAATGAAAGATGTTCAGGTCTCGGAGGTGAATTCCTTAATCGAAGACATGTACATGTTTTGCAAGACCAATGATGAGCAGGGTTCGGTCAAGAATATTGTCATTAGTGAATGGCTCGAGCAATTAACATTAAATTTGATCACAAGAATGATTGCGGGGAAGAGATATTTCAGTAATGCCAATGCTGAAGATGAAAAAGGGAAAAGTATTGGAAAACTTATGAAGGAGTTCATGTATATTTCTGGCGTACTTGTCCCTTCAGATGTAATTCCATTTCTTGGATGGATGAATAATTTCTTTGGAGCAGTGAAAACTATGAAGCGTCTTTCGCGGGAACTGGATTCCCTGATGGAAAGTTGGATTCAAGAACACAAATTGAAGAAGACCGAACATGTTGAAATCTCCGAGAACGAGCAGGACTTCATTGATGTGATGCTATCTGCAATCCAGGATGATATTATGTTCGGTCACAAGCGTGAAACCATTATCAAGGGGACAGCAATGGTAAGTTATTAATTTTTTTTTCCTTGTATTGGACTCTTGATTACGGAGCAATAGAATTGCTTTTAACATTATAAATTATGTCTTGAAAGGTGAAAGGATGTATATATAGTTACTTCCTGATGAATAGTCATTAAATTTATATATACAAAAATGATTGTCTTTCCGAAATTAATAAATGAAGTATGTTCAGGTATTTCTGCACATGAGCATAGGTTAATCTTAGCTTAGATATTAATTGTTGTGACTGTACGTAAGTACTTGAAAACATTTTGAATACAGGGGCATGTATGTTGCTTGTATTCATTGTTTATGTCTATCTTCAAATTGCTGGAAATCATCATAACCCGATTTATTTATTTATTTTTATTTTTTTTGATATTGTAGACTCTAATCCTAGCGGGTGCTGATACCACATCTATTACGTTGACATGGATCATGTCGAATTTGTTGAACAATCGACATGTATTGGAGCTTGCCCAAGAGGAGCTAGACCTCAAAGTTGGCAGGGAGAGATGGGTAGAGGATTCTGATATTGGGAACTTATTGTACATCCAGGCCATTGTTAAAGAAACATTACGCCTATACCCCCCAGGTCCCGTATCAGTTCCTCATGAGGCAATAGAAGATTGTTGTATCGCCGGATATCATGTACCGAAGGGGACTCGTTTATTTGCAAATTTGTGGAAGTTGCATCGAGACCCTAACATTTGGTCTAATCCAAATGAGTTTTTGCCAGAAAGGTTTCTCACAAATCAAGCAAATGTGGATGTTTTTGGTCAACATTTTGAGCTGATCCCATTTGGCTCAGGGAGACGGTCATGTCCTGGGATCACATTGGCATTGCAAGTCACGCACCTGACGCTTGCTCGATTGCTTCAAGGATTCAGCATCACAACACCCATGAATGTGCAGGTGGACATGGCTGAAGGATTAGGTATAACCTTACCTAAAGCAACTCCCCTGGAAATTCAGATCACCCCACGCCTTTGTTCTAAACTCTATGCTTGCTAGATGCTTCATGACAGAAATTATGATTATTTCTGGATATAGTAAATGTATTTATATATACTCCAATGGTAATTAGAGCCAAAAAAAACCCTATATATGTGGCCAGTCTGCTTACACAACATAATTAAAAACCAGTCTATTCTACTCGGTCTTTAATTTTGATTGTTGCTTCTACCTGGAAAGCTGTCCGTCAGGTTCAAGTCTATTTTGTTGTGGCTTTACAATGCCACCGCTGCCCCGTCCTGACTAGAAGCTTTTAACCGATGGCATCATGCCAACATTCTTGAATCTTGAATCCTATGAATTCTCTACTTTCCTTTCACTTTCAGACTGTGCATTCAAAATAGCATCTGATTTGAAATATAGAATAGATCTTGCTCGCCCCCGCCAAAATTGATGAAAGACATTTATTTGAAACCCCATGGAAAGTCTCATCGCCAATAACTTGTAACTTGTACACCAGTTAAGAGGGGAATAACGTACTTGGTAAAAGAAAGGAAGCAAAACACAAACATGTCAAATGCACCATAAGAATTGCAGCATGATCCACATGTTATTTCATTGTTTATAATCTCTTTCAGTAACTAGCGCAGCTGAATAACAGAAACTGGTATATGCTATCTTAAGCATCGCGCGGATGGATTCCTCCTATATTTCACCAAATGGTATTTAATTATATTAATCTCTTTATCTCTACAGTTATGAAACTTACAGAGATTAGAAGAACATATTATCTTACTTTTGTCCATACATTCATGATGAGTAACAGCAAATGTAACAAAATTTTTAACTTCATTTACTAAATCCTAATTTAAAATTCGTTTGATAAGCCTAAAGTCTATCCATGCATGATTCGACCTCGCTTTTTCCTTCTGTATATTCGAGCCAGCACACAATTGCTTAATTATTACTTTTTCTAAAAATGTAACAAAATTTCGATAGAGTCTCCCTATATATATATGTTTGATGAATAAATTCATAAAGTGATGTTGTATGGATATTTTTTCTTATTAATGTTTTCGTATTAAAGAGGAGCCAAAAAACAAAACAAAATACCTAAGCCCCTTTTTTGTTTTTTGTCAACAATGATTCCTTAAAGTGAGTTTAAGACAGTTAATCAGTTCTAGCGCTAGCATATAATTGTGTGTACAATAATTCTCTTTGAGTGAATGTAGTCAACAATTTAGTTTGTGAAAACTATCATAACAACATAGAAAAATATCAAATTTGCATCGGTTAATACTTATGCCTAAAATTATGGGTTTTGTAATGAATGTGCCTCTAAATTATTGTTGGTTCATATGTGTTCGTTAAGTTAACTACATTAAGTTCATTTCATAAAAGGAAAAACAAAGTCCAGTTTAATGATGGTTTGTATCAACATGCTTCTTACTTAAACATTTTTTCGCTACCTCAAAATGCCAAATTTTATATAGATTTTGGTATCATTATTCCATTGAAAAAACTTCATAATTCATGTCTATGACTACTTCTTAACAACCACTTTCAAATGTGACAAACTAGATTATAACATCCTTTTCAAAATAATGAATTATTATACGATTCTAGCAACTTATAGAATTATTGAACATTAGATTTATTTATACTCACTTTGTACTTAATCTGGTTTTCTATTATAGGGACATAGATTCACCTGTTAGGCATCCATAACAAACTTCGATCTCAATTAAGGCTAGGGTTATAAACCTTGTCCTACCTATAATAAACTTTTACATGAAGATTATGCGCATTTGAATGCCAAACACACGGCTTTATTGACAAAGCTTTGATCCCATTGTGAGTTTTAAGCTCGTTTGTCATTTGTCATTCTAGCCTTTTTTGTACCGCTCTCTTCATTTTAGTTTCTTATACTTTCAGTTTTCATCATCATATAATCGTATCATTATTCCTTTTTGTTATTTTTTGCTACTATTTACGGTCCATAAATGCATTGCCCATCATTGTTATTTCTAAACATATTATTTTATTTGCTCATATATTGATATAGATTATGTCTCTACTAATGCATTTCTATTTTGACTAGGTTCAAAGTTGATTGTATTATGATTAATGGAGCCGACATTGCCAATTTCATGATGATTAAGAAATGCATAGAGAAATTCTTTGGAGCCTCGACATATCACTATGTCATGGAAAAAAGATTCAAAGATCCTTACAAATTCCCTTCTCCGATGGTAGAAAAATTGATGCTACTTAAGATTTTTCAAATCTATTTTGGCATGTTTAAATCAACAAATAATCTATGTGATTTATTGATGAATTCTATTTTTGATGACAACACAGATTCTAAAGTAGAAGAGGTCCTACTAGTAAAAGAGGGTGTTCATCGGCGCCTTTTGGTTGAAGCCATAACTATTGAATCTTTAACTACTCAATCTGTTGTGATAGCATATGATCCATAAACACCAATCATCAAGGAAGGCCAAACGATCATCACTTCATCTACTTCATCAAATGTCGATGAACCGGATCAACTCAAGACTTCTATGACAATTCACTTTAGTGTGAAGCATAAAGTGGAATACTCATCGATTGCCTTACGAGCATGACACCATAAGGTTTGCCTTTAACAAAATATATTCATTTTCGGATTCAGCTTCAAAGTATTTTCCTATGCTGCATCCAACTGCATAGAAGAGATTTAAAGAACATATAAATATCGTGCTCCTTCCATTCTAAAATCAATCAGAATAAATTTTTCATTTTGGTTATGTTCATTCATTTGTTATAGCAATTTGTACTAATTTGATTTCTTTGACTTCATTTGCTTTCGTATAGCGACAATCACTCGCCCCTATTGTTCTATCTACCTTAGAAACAACTTTAATCATGCCCAAACTGGAAAAATCTACTTGCCTCGACCAAGCAAACGACCTATGAATGAAAGCATACTAAGAATGTGTGATGTTTGTTGTAAAAAAAAAAAAAAAGAGTTATCCACACAAATAGACCTTTCTCTTATGAAATATATATTTTTTTCAAAATTATACTGAATTCAAGTGTTTTAAACACATTACGGAAATTAATCTATAATGCTTCTTTGTTGGAGTGCGGTGCGAACGGACGAGACTTCCAAGCCCTTTTCATCTTTTTGTGTCTTTTGGTGTATGTAGTGAATCGGTTGGATTTGTTTATTATATTACTTTATCATGTCATAAGCGCATTTTAAATTACCTGTTTGGGTTCGTTTTGGCATGTTTAAGACATTTACTTTATTGGTTACTCTTACGAGGGAAAAAAATCATATCTTTAGCGACTCTTGAAACAATCCTGTTTTGATAGCATTGACAATGTTAAAAAAATGCTTTCATTTCCCTTTGTAACTTTGCACTAAATTTTCTTAAACCTTGGTTAATGATTATAGACTTTACATGTATGTGTTTGTTTGCCATTATTACTCCTTTTCCTATTAATGCTTTCTAGGTGGTCCTCCGGTTTGTAATTTAGCGATCAATAGTTCGACATGGTCTTAATTTTTTTTCTACGGGGTGTCAAATTGATTAGGTAACCAAGGCATCATATTGTAAAATAAGCTACTGGGATTTCTCTAAACATACGTTATCCGATTTTAGCACATGTTCCATGCTAAGAGACATACGTCCCTTTGGCCCTTGAAGAGGATTTGTACCCTATATATTTATTTTTACTATGAAACATTTGCTATGAAACCAATCCTACATGATATTCCTCAACTATTCTTGAAATTTATGTTGAAGGCGAGGTTATAAGTTCATGTTTTTCATCTTTGGTAGGAAGCATTAAAGCTTTTTTTTTTTTTATGTTGAATACATTTATTTGTCACATTCCTGTACATGTATAGCCATACTTTTAATCCCAATTAAATTATCCATATTAGCATAAAAAATACAAAATTGTTACTCGCTAGAGATTTAAAATACAATTCTTTTGATCTTGACTTTCCAATGCTCATCCAAATTCCAAGCACCAATTATAACCTTGATAATTTGTTGCCATTTTTCACTAACTTTCGATCAATTATTTGCTACCAGTTTCAAGCACTAATTATGTGATACATTTATATATTTTTAATTTCTTGCCTACTTTTCCATTTTATTTATAGTTATATTATTGTACATTGTTAAGAAAAAACCTTACTTGACGACTATCTATTCACTGGATAACCGTAACAACCTACGACATGTTTGTTTCCTCTACTTGATCATCAACTAAGATATGTCAACTTTTGCTAGAAAAAGACAATAAGAATAATTGACCTACCATTCAACTTTTGATTGGACCAAAAATGAAAAAGCAACCTCGGATTATGTTGTTGAAAATTTTGCAATTATGATGTTTGTTAGGTAAGGTTGCGGATTTCCAAACACAACTATATAAGATCTTTATAAATATTTGGCACCTATTAACATTGTTCTCCTCCATCCGAAACAAAAACAAGAGCCATGGCTAATCACTAGGACCTCGTTGCTCAACAATCACAACGAGGGTAGTATTGAATCTTTTTTCTTTTCAATCTTATCATAATACATGTATGTTTTTCCTATCTAATTCTTTCAAGTTCATAGTCTAAATCTGTCATTTCTAACCATAGATAGCATTAGGTCAGCAGAATGAAAACAAATCAACCATTAAGCACTTACTTCAACCACCAATCAATAATACGAAGGTTTCCAAAATTCTATGTCAATTTTTAAAAATAAAATTATTAGACATCCTATGATATATATATATATATATATATATATATATATATATATACACACACTCTACTCATTAGTTATTTTTTATTAGAGAATTTGCTGCACAATTAAGGCAACAATAGTCCATATTGGTCTAAGTTTAGGCTAGTGGTTTCTAGCACGTCCACTATGTCACCGCCTAGCAAAACAAATCACGAAGTCTACTCATACACAATCCATGGCATACTCATTAACAAACCCATACTACGGTAAGTAACTCCGAACATTACAAATTAATTTTTTCCTTTACAATTAAAATTATTT